GGCCCTTCACTTTGTATATCCCTATTTTCTCTCACTCTGTCAAAATTTGAATTGATGAAAAGCAGCTGAGAGTCCCTGCCACCATGGCAGTTTTTCATCACTCTGCAAGATTCAGCCTAATGTGAAGAAATTATTTTTTTTCTTCCAGCTTTGGGTAGTTTGAAGCTTGAATATGAAAGAAAAGGCAGCAAGTCTAACCCAAGGAAAGGAAATGCATATTTGCATTGCTTGATAGCTTCTCATTAGTTTTGTAGTATTTATACAATGCCCAAAAGCATTGACAGATCCCTTTCTGTAAATATAAATTGATGCATACATGAAATCTTCCCTTTGAAATAAGAACATCATATTAAAATTGAACAGAAATATGCCCCTCTAGATGGCTGGCTGATTGAAAACTAAGGTTTCATTTTAAAGCATAGTTTTGCTGGTCACTCCTCACTCAGGGCCACAGAAGCAAACCTGCACCTGGGAAAGGCTGCCTTCTGGCAAAGTCAGGGCTTGAGAATCCACGCATTTTTCACTGAATAATTTTCCCTTAAAAAAAACACAAGAAAACAAAACCTGCTTTCCCAATGGAAGTCTTGAAAGCAGCACCGTATCTTCCAGTCAGTTGGTTCTATAATTAACAGCTCTACAACATAAAATGGTTAGGTTGTTAATCAAGCACTTTGTAGAAGAGCAGACTTTGTGCTAACATGCATCCAGGACATGTGTACACTTGCACATACAATTTTAACACACAGTGCTAATGTAAGAAGATGTATTTTCAGCCTAGATAAGCCTGTGTATTCGCTACAGAACACCAGCAGCGTGGCTATGCTGCCATCAAGTGGATAGCCATCCTACATGTTGCTGAACTTTAAATATCTTCCAGGACTGGTAAAGATAACTGTATTTCAGGGCTGTACTGAAAACATTGGAGTTTCTTAACACCATATTGACAAATGTCTGCACTCTCCAACTATTAAATTATGCATTTGCAGAGAAATGGGACAGATTTAACTGTAAACATTCTGAGGATCTCTGGCAACCTTAAGTCGCCATAATAACATGGGAAAAATCTGTCTATATAGTTTTCAGATATATGACCATATTTAAAATCCCAAACTACAGCAGATGCCTGGCATTTCTAATAGTAGCAAAAGGGGGTTGGAGTCCTTTCAAAATGACAATGACAACAAAACTCTAAAGAGCCCAGCCCTTGTGATGACACAGAAAGTTTTTTCAATATCTACAGACTGATAGAAAATTATATTAAAAGAAAAAAAGCCTATGAACTACTGGTGAAAAGTTAATTTATAGTCCAAAAGTTTAGCTCTAGAGAGCATGCTCTCATTCATACAATTTTGGGCAATTCTACAGCAAAGTTTGTCAAAACTTCTGTCTTTATAGCCAGTTTCCACTGAGTGAAAAAATGCAGCTCACTGAGACATGTTCATTCTCTTCTTAGCCTGAAATATTTGCTGAAATCACTGGCCCTATTTTTCAGAATAGTTTCATGGAATAACCAAATTTTTTGCTTTTTACAAAATTTATTTCTTAGATGAGATAAACTATATATCTTTTAAGTTTTTAAAGGGAAAGAATCAAATTTTTGCCTCTATTCATAAAGCTATTTTCTATACACATTAGTGAAATACGAAACATAATTGCTAGCACTTTTTTACCGCAGTTCTCTTACAAAAAAAAAAAAAAAAAAAAAA